TGGGGGAATAAACGCTATTGTGTAACCAACACTCCTTGCAGTTCCCTCAGTCCAGTCAAGTGTCTTATTAAACTTTCCAATTAATCCCCAACTCCTTACTTTATTACATTGGTTTCATTTTGTTTTCTGGTTCTGGCGCAGAATTAATGTATTAGATCTCTTTGGTTTAACCATTTTTCCTGTGCATTCCTCTGAAACAGCCTTGTGAGCTGTTCCCTTTAGAGTAAGCAAAGAAATGGAAATATACTCCACATGGTGTGTATTTTGATACTGGTCTTGATAAGTAACTATTCAGGTGTACTCGGTGAATTGGATTTTTACCAGTCTGTACAAAACTAAATAATGGCTTGACTACTTTATCACAATATTTTTGGATGCAGTCTTCTTTCAAGCATCCCTGAAGCTCTGGATATGGGTTACATTTCTTTTTCTAGGGTGAAGAGCTTTTGTTCTATAGTGACTGCATAATGTAGTGAGTAGTTTAAACATTATGGAAATAGGTAACTGCTATATTGTGCATATTCAGGTGGATTATGTTTTTATTGGTTCCATGATACATGTGAAGCATGGTTTTACTTTATCTGATTTACGCTGAGTTCATAATGCACTTACTGTAAGGATTCAGTGGGCTACTTCACACAACCCAGCAGTCTACTGTGGGTTATTTAACCCAAACTGAGGCTATGGTACATGCAGCTGCTCTTTTGCATATCCAGCCCCCACTTGGTACTCAGAATACTATGTGAACCTGGCAAACATGGATTGTATGAGGGTTAAACAGTCCTTGCATGATCTGAGAACAGACCATGGTTTGTTTGACCCTTGTATGATGCATGTTTGCAGTGTGCACACATGACAACCCCTGAAAAGGAGCTGGATATGCCAAGTGGCGCCAGTGGGAACTGCAGCTCATCATGGATGAATAATCATGGGTTGTCATGATATGTCACATGAACTAGGGCAGCCGATCAAAGTGTCTTAAAATCCATTCACGTTTGAAAAAGGTGGTCCTTTTTCTGATCATTTTAAAGAAAGCATGAATATGTACTGTCGAAAGATCACTTTTAGCTTAACCCTATCACTTAATACTATAAAAGCCTATTTATGTGTCCTGAAAATCAAGTTATACATCCTTACGAGAACTGTCCCATTACAGAATCTAGCTGATACAATCTTGTACTCATTTCAATAGAGCACATTACAAAGCTTCCACAGCACAAACGTATGCAAAAATAGCACAGCAGGAATAAGGACAAGCTAAGCCATTTTCCTCTAGAAGTATACCTTTCTCTGGATAAATTTGCGCAGTATGCCTTTTCTAAATTCGCTGACTGAACCTGAAACTCTACATGTGGCATAAGTTCTTTAGGATTTTACTTGCAAACTGACAGATCAAACATCTAACAGCATTTTAAAAAAGCTTGATTATATCGTCATGAAAAATGCAGCACTTCAAATAAGGTATAGGTGTGTGCGCGCACATGTGCCCTATGTGACTTGTTTAATAAATTAAATGTTGCAAAACATCTCTAAGAGTTGGAATTCCTTTTCATAAAAGTGCCCCTGTTTCGATGCTGTCTTTTTCTATTCAATGTGAATGTGAACGTTTCACTCGTAATCTTACCATTAGCTGTGTGAAATCCCCAGTGCATGTTGAGTCTCTTAATTCCAAGACTGCAGAAGATCAGGTAGTTCATTGTCAAAACACAGTATCTTAGTTAACTCTCCCCTTTCTGACAGTAACTTGTAGAACAAAATAAAACATGGTGACATCCCATATGTAAAGTACTGTCCTTGTTCTTATCTTTTTTCAATCTTCATTTTCACCTTCCTTTGAACTCTGTAACATTTGAAGTCATCTTAAAAAGGTTGTCAACAAAATAAAATGACTGACAGGCACTCTTCAGTGTTCTGTTCCAATCTGAATGCTATTATTTTTTCACTTTTGTTTTCCATAGAACATGTCCCTTTTGTTTATTTTTACATCACCTTAAGCTTTAATTTTGTTTGTGTTTTTGCATTTGATGGGTGCTGACATGAGAACATCTCAAAGGTGCCTTCACTTTGCAACCTAGTTATTTTAGTCTCAGTTTGTCCTTTTATTCATTGCATATCTTCTTTCTGTAATAAACAATGGCAGCCCCTTTGGACAGTGATTGATGAAATAGATTGGGTTTTGAATTTGCTCCAGTGCTTCCCTCCTTTTGCCGAAGTTCCAGTTATATAATTAGCAAACTTAGTACTGCTGAGACTAATTTATTCTTTATTGTTCAAATGAATGCTTCTTCCTATCCAGAAAAAAAGAAAAAGAAAAGTGCAAGTAAAGGGTTGGTAGATGATGATGATGATGATTTTGATCACTATTTGTTTTTCAGCGCCAGGCTAAGACCTTTTTATTTAAAACTTATTTTAATTGTTAATTTATTGTATTTATAGGATTTTAAAATTTTTAAGCTGAGATGTCACCGGAGTTTTTAATTTAATTGTATAATTGTTATATTTATATGTTTTATTTGTGTTATGAGCTGCCCCAAGGCTTTGTTGCGATGGAGGCGGCATAGAAGTGTTTTAAATAAATAAATAAATAAATAAATAAATAAATAAATAAATAAATAAATAAAATGATTTCCCACCGATTGAGACTGTAGACAGCTCACAGCATTAAAATTCACACAATTAAAACATTCAAAAATACACAAAAGTTAAACATACAATTAAGCCAAGTATATATTACAATTATCACTAAGTAGCTTAACAACACCACAAAAATATAAACAGTTAGATTAACCCAGTGCAAACTCACAGGCCATTCCCAAATGCCTACTGGAATGAAAGTTTTTAGCCTGCTTATAGAACAATAACAGGGAAGGGGGCCAACCTCATCTCCCTAGGGAAGGGTATTCCAGAACCTGGGGCAGCCATTCAGAAGACCCTCTTTTGTGTTCCCACCAAACATGCCTGTGAGGGTGGTGAGACTAAGAGAAGGGCCTCTCCAAAAAATCTTGTTAGATTTTCATTAAATTGTTGGTTTTATTACTTACTTCTACCCACTCTTATATTCAGATGAATTCTCAGAGCAACTTAACAAAAGGAATACAATATATAGATTTCTACACTGCCTCTGTGTAAATGTAGTAAATGCAGAAGTGATTCTTGCTGGATTATATCCAAGGACTTTGTTGAACAGGATGTGATGGTTTTAAAAATATTTAATAGCTTACACTTAAATAGAATTAGATGCTAGCTATTGATGTAAAGTTATAGCATGTAGAGCCAGTTTGCATGGAATGACTATGAATTTTTTAACCCATAGTTAGTTGTAGCGACATGTTAGCAAGCAAACCCCTGCCCCTCTGCTACTGCCCCACATACATACCACTTCCACATTCCTAAACAATTAAAACTGAGCTGCTAACCCTAAACAACCCAAGGTGCTATGTTTGGACATTATTACAACCACCCAGGCACTATTGTCCTGATTTTTTAGGCAAGTGGAAGCAAGCAGGAACCAGCATACTGACTCCTTGCCACACACTCATACACAGCCTTAGCTTTGTTAATGCATTGTTTGATTGTACAAACTTGGTCAAAGTTAGCCCATTATTTAGGCCATGGGTTGTTGTTATTTCTGAATCATTTGCCAGACTGCATAAGCCTTGAGAAAGAATAGTAAAGGAAACCACAACCAAACTGTCACTTTACATGCCATTATTAGAACACCTAAAAGACTTTTGGATGTAGGGAGGGAACAGACAAAGGAAGGAAACAAATCATGGTTCATTAATTTGCCTGACAAACCCTGGGTGGGACAAGAAAACATGGGTTAAATAAACCATGAATTAGCATTCAGTGTGAACCAGGCCTATATGGACTCATGATTCTAGGGAATATTAGTTTATAAATAATTAAATGCATTTAGATAACTTAATGCATAGTATTTTGATGAGAGAATTCTTGGGTATGGAAATGATAACACACATGGACTCATTCCTGTCAGCCATACCACCAAATTCAGCAGTTCCTTCTTTCTTTATTTGCTGGAAGTAGTATGAAGGCATAGCAGATTTCAGACACTACTTGACAATTCCAAATCTCCAAATTCTCAATCATATCTTCCTTGTCAAACTACTGAAGAGAGGTTGTCCTGGGAGGAGACCTCAAAAATCATCACAAATCATCTTAACAGACTCTGTATCTTACACCACACAATTTAAGGAATAAAATGATTAAACATTTAAGCAGAAAGAGATGTTTGAGGTGTAGCTATTACCTCTGTGGTAGGTATAGTACAATTTACTCCTGAGTATGTTTACTTAGGAGTAAATACTACTGAATCTGATGATACTTGGTTCCAAGTGACCTTATGGTACAACATACTGTAATCTGCACAATTGTCACCCACTTACCCAGGAGTAAACCCTTTTGAACTCAATGGCACTTACTGCTGAGTAGGCATGAGACTGTAAGGCATCATTTTTAGTTTAAGTTAAATCTTCTATTATTGATTGATTCTTATTGTGTAAATCAGCCTTAAACGCTCCAGATGTTTTGGACTTCAATTCCATTCTGCCCCAGTTTGCATGATCAGAACTGGGTGTTGTAGTACAAAACAAAAGAAAGCCTTGAAATGGAACATCTTTGTTTTCTTTCAGTATGATTGTACATTGAATTCTAAGTCTTCAGAAATAAGTGAAATTTTATTGTATACTGTATATAGTGCCTCTGCAGATCTCATTTACTCACATTCATTTTAAAGAGATTTTATAGGATTCTTAGCTCTAGGCCTTCTTTTTGGCTAGCTGTATATATGCTTCACTCATCAGTTGCTGTTTGTAATGGCGGGGAGGTAACATTCAGCATAATCAGTGGGACTTTGTTTTCTGTTTTTTTTTTTACAAAATTAAATCAGTTTCTAATCACTGTTTCAGGCAATTAACTTTTAGAATTAATATTGAAAATACAGAGATAGCAAAGAAATAAGTTTCCCTTCTTTTAATTAGATCAAATCCATTTTATGAACCAAAATCAAGCTCTGCTTTAAATAATCAAGTTACATCGCTGCAAGAAGTGGAAAGGAAGATGAAAAGAAAAGCTCCTGAACCACCAGTCCTCTCACCAAAGACAGAAAGGGAAACGAGTGGGAACATGTCAGCTAGTCATGCAGTGAAAGAGCTTTCCTCTTCTCCCAAGGTATGTAGCTACCATGTCACTAGCGTTTGTAAATGTTTGTTGAAAACTGAAATTCCTCTGCTTGTATTGTATACACTGGCACTTCACTGTCTTAATGCATAAATGAGTTTCATTTAGCTATACATTGTCAGTTCAACTTCACCTATTTCACTCTGCATGGACAGAGCCAAGATTTTGAAAGCTTGTAAGGGACGTGACCAGAGCTGGCTCATGATGTTGGCACTGTTTCCAAACAGCTGTCCTGTATGTTCCAAGGGGTGTGCGAGTCATAACTGTACATTCTGAGAACTAAGCACAGGATCTTCTGAGCAGCACTAGTCAGAGCACTTGTTTCTTCATTAGCAGTGTCTCCCATTCCCTTCCAAACCACTAGTAAGCAATCCCATCAGTTTTTTCTGCAATTAGCACTAAACATGAACTACAACTCATATTATTGTGTCTCTTTTTGCTGTGCAAGCTGCCTTGAAGGCACACTATCTATCCTGAAAAGAAAGTTGAAATATCTTAAGCAAAAATAAAACACATGAAGTAATAATTTAATGAACAACAGACTTTGCAAGGCCTTTTTATGAACACTAGGCTGAACGGTACCATTCTTTCTAACTTTACAGTTGCTGTCCTGTGTACATTAACCTGGGAGTAAGCCTACTTAGCTCTGTGGGATTCATCTCAGTATAAATACACTTAGGACTGTGTAGGCATGCTATCTCTGTCTGTCTCTCCTTTACCATTAGTAGGTTCATCATGGGAGAAAGGAGGCAAGTAAATGTAGCCACATCTGTCAGGTGACTGTAATATAGCCATTGAACTTTAACTTCACAGTGTATTTTTTGCATTGTTTCTATAGCTAGAAGCTAAAAATCCAGTTGCAAAGTAGGAACTATGGTAGTGTAAAGTTCTGAGTCATTGAGGACCCAAAGAGTCTCAGGCTTTGTGAGGAAAATAATTTATGTTACATGAGGTTAGATGTAAACTACACATCCCACAAATGGAAGAACACCTTCTAACGATGGAAATAATTTGATCCAGTAGAGGTATCCCATTGGCAGAAAGCTGTGTGTAGGGATGTATGGAATTTTTGTTTCTGGGGTAAAATTCAGTGGATGTCTCCAGTTCAGCCCTACAAATTTCATACCATTTCCCCCTCACTGATGTTGATTTAATTATAATGAGTTAAGCAGATGCACAGCTCCTGGTAGGGTCTTTTAATAGTGGCAATTTGCACAACTGGGGAAGGAGGGCTTGGAATTTGTGTGAATAATGTTGTAATTTCTAAAACTCTTAAACATACTGAAATAATAATCAAAAATCACCCTCTCCTCATATTACAGTGTTCAACTCAGATGAGCCATATTCTGTACTTCTCAAAGAATTTGCCAATTTCATTCTCAGGGTCCACACTTCCAAAACCAAAAGCAGAGAATAATAGTCAAGTATGAAGCATGTATGAAACTGACAAGGGTATTTACAAGAGACTAGCATACTTCTACAGGGCTTCATAGCAGATGTGCAACAGTGCACACTTGTGCAAGGTCACAAAAAACAAGAACCCTGTTTTAAAATTATGTCATTAGTGTACATTTCAAGATCTCAATTCCCCTTGCTCACAATTTGTGTAAATTACCCATTTTATATGAAAGTCAAAACCTGAAAAAATATGTGCAAAAAAATATTTGGCGTAAGAAAAAAATATGGTATGATTTGCTGATGCTTACTGGAACGGAAGTGCTGCAGAATTTATACAGCACTTCTTTTCCAGTTGAAACACAGGAAAAGAGTCACACATGGGAGAGGACTTTGGCTGGTTTAGGTAGGAGAGAACTCTGGATGATTTCACCTCTCCCCTGTACCAATTGTGCCATCTGATTATGCCATCTGAGGGACCTCCAGTGCTCAAGATCATATTTTTAGAAGGTGCCAATGTCTTCAGAAGGAGAGGAAAGTTGCCTTTGTTTCAGCAGGAGCTTCCCTTGAACAGAACTCTGTTCAGGATTGCTCCTGCTGAGGTGGCCAAAGTGTAGATGTAGCCCATTAACTTTATTTTTCTTTCTTTACGTTTTCTTGCTGTAAACCTGCTATTTTTCCAAAATGAACTCTTTTTAAAATTTCAGATTTTTGTTTTATTTTTCAATTTAGCCTGGATCGTGTTGAATGATTCATTTGGGATAAAATGATGATCTTTTGTTCCTTCTGTCAAATAAATTTACTGAATGTGAAATATGGTAGACTATTAGAATTAAAATTAGAAGCATTAAATAGTCTGTTCTTCAAGATGCTCTCCTACAAAGACAAAAGAACAGTGCATTAGTGTTGAACAATTGCAGGGAGAGAAAGAATGGAATTTATTCTGTTGTGTATGAGAAAAACTGGCTGCTTTGGTCTGGAACTTCTCAGACTAATATGCAGATTTACTTAGTGATAAAACCTTTCTGCATTTAACTGTGGCTCCTCATTCAGATGGAGCAGAGTGTATTAGATGAATAGTTAGAAAAAGAAATAGCTTGCTGTGGTCCTTTTGCAAATAGAAGTACTTGCAACTTAATTACATAATATTTTATTAAGCAAAGGTGAAAATCATATGCATTAATATTAAAGGAAAGTTATTTAGTTATTGATGGAATCTATGCAGAGAAAATAAATAGCAACTTCATAATTGTTTTTTGTTTTTTATTTGTAAGTTATTGTTGAGCTTTCATGTTTTCCCCTATAATCCATTTTATGAAACCTCTTTGGAACTGCTTTTCATTTGAATCTGGAAAGGAAAAGAGAAAAAATCTTTCGGCATGTCTTCCAGACCCCTCTTAAAACATCCAGCGGCCCTCAAGGGCCTTGTATTTTAGATATCATCATTCCGGTTAAGAACTGAATGGAACCCCTTGTCACATCTATCAAACTCTTGCTTAATTAGGCAGAGAGCTTGCTGATGAATCCTTGTCCCTCAAGGGCTGATCATGCCATTTTCTCCTTTCTACCAAGGGAGAAAGGATGAGACCAGAAGCTTCCCCTAGGAAGCAGAACAAGCTTTAGCAAAGAGACCACTGAACTGGCACTCACAATGCAGAATCACATTTTCTGCCTTCCGGGAACCTAGGCTTAGTCTGTTTTCTGTGGAGTTTCTTTGATAAGAAAGCTCACCTGGTTCCTGATTGAGGTTGGAAAACAGAAGATTTGGTCAAGACGTAAGATAAGATATTGGCACTTAAATCTGATATTGGAAGAGACAGACAGTGAGGATGTATGGCAATGATTTTTTTCTTCTCTTTTTTCTTTTTTCCTGCTTACTTGGATAAGTGTGTGTGCCTGTTATTTAGTTGCTCAAAATCCAGTTTGGGAAAGAGTATCTGGTGAATGGCAATAGGGTTTTCCTTAACCAAGTGGTGCTGGGCAGCTTTCAGCACCCATCTTTTTCTCCCTACTCCCACTCCTCCCACTTGGCCCAGAGGTCATTCTGCTTGATTCTAGAAATCTTGATTTTTTATTATTTCTATGGATTTAGACTGGGATGATTTGAATGTGAACTTAATTTGCTGAGAAGAACTACTTATTTGGCATGTTCTTTGCTTCCTTATTGGTGTCTGCCATCTTAGGAATAACTGGGGAAGAAGTTATCTGCTGGAGGAGTGGCAGGAAGGTTCCATTGTATTCTGAGTGATACTAGCGCTATCAAACAGACTGTGGCTGTTTGGAATGCTTCTGTCAATTCAGGCATAGAATGTCTGCACAATAGAGATGTAGGAGCAGATGGGCTTCTGTTGATCATCACCCTGCTCTCTAAAATGTAACTTTTCAGATCAGAAAGGCAGTCACTGATAAGGAGGGCACTAAAGTCACAGAATAGGGTATAACTGAGCAAATAAATAGTGCTGCCACAATGCACTGCCAATTTACAGTCATGATTTCAGGTCAGTGAGAACTCTGTGCCACTCTATTATTTTGCTAGTTCTGTGTTCCCTTCCAGTTCCAATTTAGCACAAGTGAAGTCAATTATTTTATTTTAAATGAATATTGCTCAGAAAGAACAACTTTGTTGGATACTAAATGTATGATATCAGAACTAATTTATTCTGACATTTAAAGAAGTAGTCTGAGAATTCTGTCTTGAAAGATTCGCATTCCAGAAACTTTTATCAGGAAGTTATTAGGAAGTTACTGGGGAATATGTAATGTCTGCCTTTAACTCCTTCCCCCCAGGGCTTGTTTTGTTTGTGGGTGTGCTGATTGGTTTGCATGACACAGCAACCCATTGTGGGTAACTAACCATGGTAGGTTCTTGTGTAATGTGAACCTAGACCACTTCTTACTTGGTGCCTGAACAAAAAGTCACCCTAAAAAGCCATGGCTTTCACTAGGGGTTGCTGTATGCATGATGGATTTATGTGTCATCCAAATCCAGACAGCCAATTCCATCATGGGAAAAAGAGAACAAGCCACTTAGTAAAAGCTACAGAAACCACTTGGTGCACTTGCTGAGTTCACCTGGGTCAGCACCCATCAAGGCCCTTCTGCCAAGTGCCCAAGTGGCACTTAAACTGGCCATCACTACGTTAATTATCCCCACATGTGCTGTGACCCTTTTTGCGGTCACTGTGACTTGTTTTCTCTCCCCCCCCCCCACTTTCCCTTTTTATCTAGGGGGAGATCGCCTTTTTAATCCTTTTTGATCTCCATAGGGACAGTCGGTAACGAGTATTGAAGCAGTAGTCATAGCACATTTAAAATTGTGTGTGCACATACACATCTTTCCCATTGGCATTGAATGGATGGCGAGTGGGGGAACTGGCTGGTATATGTATCAGTGGAGGTCAGCAGGTGCGACCCTGTTGCTCTCCTCAGGTACTTATGGAACATGTGGTATAAGTCATGTGATTCCCCCTTCTTCTCATAGCTTAATTCACCTTACGTGTAGGCATCCATGTGAGCCACCCAGAGCTCCTTGGTGGATATAAATGTGACAAAGAATTTGTGTCCGGGATAGGAGTGACTAAACAGTGGAATGAAAT